GTACACTGAAACATATTACATATTACCTTGTGAAATTATTTTCCATCTCATAGATTATCATTTTACATTGATCCAAAGAATCTGGTCATGTATTACAATGCAGAATTGATAGATTTCATAAGGTGTTATTTCTGATATGGTACATTACCTCCTCTCATATAAATAGCTATTCTCATTCAGTGCTGCCCTCTATAGGCAAACATTTTTTATGCATGTCAAAAACCTTCTCTCCCCCTTCCATTGCAATTGACTGATTTTAGTGCATCTCTCATGCAAATCATCTTGCATCAACCCTCCACCAATAAGAATGCAACATACTCTCATGATACATATGACTCCCTCTATTCAATTTTACCAAACTATCACTTCTCATTTGGCAGTACTCGTGTTCAGACATTTTTTTTCATTTTAGTTCTCTTTGTGTGAATTGTAATTTTAATAGTTTAATTTCTGAAGTGGGATCTTTTTCAATATTATTTTTCTTTACATTGAGGAAATTTATTATTTAAACTTAATTTTCAAGTATTTATTTTTTCTCACACTTGCATATTTTGCATCAAACACTTTTGTTTGATTTACTTATTTCTACAATGAATTCTAAAGTTCATGTTCCCACTTTGGGTGTTATATCTCTAGCACTATTTTCACAGGCTGCAGGTGGGGGAGACCTGTTATTAGATTTCTCTGCTATTATTCATCATGAGATTGATTGTTATATGGGTCAACCTTTTTCTACTGAACTTGCCCCACTAATCCTCCTGAACAAGCTGAACCTGTTCAGGCAGATGAAGATTTCATAGCCTTTTTACATCAGTGGATATTGCCTTGTTTTCCCCAACTCATCCTGCAGAATCAGCTAGGCCTGATATGGCATTTTTTGACACGATTTCTCAGGTATGTTCTGTTTTATCCAATTCCCCATATATTATATTATTTCTTATTACCTCCATGTTGGCTCATTTGCCCTTTTCCAGGAGTTTCTCATCTCGTTGTTTTATTCAACTTTGATGAACTTGTCGCCAACAGTACTGATGACTAACCAGAGGGTTCTAGTCTAGTGGGAGCATGACTATATTATATTGTTACCCTTTAGCAATCTTTCACTACAGTTCCATGGGTTAGTCGGGTTTTATCAGAGAGACTTGTCCTACTATTTCTTTCCCGACCTCTTTTGCCCCTGGTACCCTTTCCCTTCCGTATGACTTGGGATCCTGCTACCAGCCTGTGTCTGTCCAAGGAGGTATAAGATTTTCTCTCTCTAAAGGCTGTTGCACCTGATCATTGTCTTTCTCCAAGCTTTTGGTTGTCCTCGTGCCAAACCGGAGACTGGCAGCCTGTACTGGGTTTGTCCCACCTCATTCTAATTTTGAGTCTGCCCCGCTAAGTCATTTCTCACCCTTAGGTGGACTTTTTCTCCAGGTTTATCAATGACAGAGAGGAATTTTGCAAATGATTATTTGCATATCCTGATATTTCATCACTCACAACCCTCTCTTCTGTTTATTCTCCATGGGGTGGTTTCTCTGTTTTTTGCTTACTGCCCTTCAGACTTGTTCGGCCCTGTATGTTTTGTTGAGCGTTCAGAGTATTTGTTCATAACTTATATGCTCTCGGGTTGAGCTTTCCTCTTTCTTTGGTTGACTGGCTACTGTTTACTCGTTCCGAACAGGAGTCCGCCTATGATCCTTATCAGCTGCTCCTGGAGGTGGCTAAAATGGGTTGTTAATCAAGTTGGAGAAGTACTTACTGTGACCTATCCAATATCTTGTCCATTTGGGTGTTTTTCTTTTTCCACACCCATCTTGATCGAGCCCGCCCTTCTCCTCCTCAACTTTGTTCGATGGGTTTTCAGTTCGACTACAGCTCACAAAGTTATATTGCTTTTGGGGATGTGATCTTCCATGGTAGCCCTTATCCCCATAGGTCAGGTTAATATGCAGGCTCTTTCATGGGCTTTTCATGATCAATGGAATTTTGCAGAGATCCTTTGTCAGCTCTTATTATCTTTCCTCATATCCTTGTCATCGATCGGCATTGGTGGTTAGATATGACTCACATGTTCGCAAGTGTCATGCTTCCTCCTCATCCAATTTTCCATATTTCATGGATGCATCCCTTCGGGGATGGGGAGCATTGGCTGATCAACTGGAAAAATCTTTGTTTTTGGTCTGTAGCTGAGAAGTCTTATCCTATCAATGTCCTGGAGCTTCTCACTGTAGGTCATGTTTTGGTTCATTTTCTCCATTTGGCCAGAAATTGTCTGGTAATGATCCATTCCGACTTTTCTTCTGTGGTTTCTTGCCTCAAACATCAGGGCAGCACCTGTTCTCCATCCCTCTGTATTCATACGTTGAATATATCAATATTTCTATAATTGCGTGTCATGTTCCGGGTGCTTTCACTCTTGCCTTAGACACTGGTGTTTTATTTAAACTTTCCTGTTCTCCCTTTTCATGCCTGGTTTTTCTCTGGTCATTGGCAAGGTGATGTGGCTTCTCCCAACAGTTACCTTCTTTTCTGTCTTATTTCATTAGCTCTTCCTACATGAAAGTTCCTCAATGCAAGTGGAAATTTTCCATCGTTGGTTTCTGGGTACAGGTATTTCCCCTGATTAATTCACTGTTCTTAGTAATGTGGATTTTTTTACTTTTGGATTGAGGGTCTTCTGTCTCCTTGTATTCAGATTTTTGGGCAGTCCTGTCCCATACCTTTTGTTTTTCCCAATTCTGCAGGTATTTACCTCTCCTACACTTTACCTGTTGGTATGTTCCTTTTTGATTTGTTGTCTGCCGTGTTAGGCTGCCCTTTTGGATGGGGATATTAATGTGGTCTTGCACTACTTCATTTTGCCTACGTTTGAACCACTCTCTCAGTGCTCCTTGTTTCACCTTCCATTGTGTGTTTTCCTTTCTTCCCCTAATTACCTGTGGATGTCAGTGGTCTGTTTATTTGCCATCAAAGTTTCATGTACACTTTATCCTTCTACATATCTTCTCCTTTCTCTGGATCATTTTTCCTCCCTAATGCTTCGGCAGCTTGTGAGGATAATTTCTCAGTTTAGCCGCTTTCTCTTCCTTCTGTTTCACATCTTTATTCTTGTCCTTGTCTGGATAAACTTCTATGTCCTGTACATGCTCTTTTCGATTATATTGCTTGCATGGCTTCTTTCTTTAATGTCTGTTCCCGCTTCTTTCTTCCTTGGCAACTCTCTTCTGTTCATGTTTTTTCTCCTTCCTCCTTTGCCAGTTGGGTTTAGCTCTTCATTTGATTAGCCTCTTCCTCTTTATCGTCTTCGTCTCATACTTTGTTTGAAGTGTCTTCTCACCCAATTTGACACCTTACCTTTTCATTGGCATTTCATTATTGTTGTCCTTTGGAGGTACTTCTTCAAATGGGAGTATGGACTGCCCACTGTTTGTGTTGGTTTGTGGTTTTCTTCCTCTTTGGGTTATCATCTTTGCCTGTAGCTATTCTGGAATATCAGAATTCAGTGAAACTTTTCAGGTGCCTTTTCCCTTTTATTACTGCTCATTGTTTGGATCCCACTGTATGGTGAGTGGTGGCTATACAGGTATACTTAAACTAGTCAAATCTGCATTGTAAGACTATGTCAACTTACATATTATGATTTCCATGGCCAAAAAATGCACACTGCAGAGATGGGGTGTTCCACAAGATCGCTTGTAGGTTTATCCTGATGATAGAATTGTTTCATAAGTTTGCTAGTTCTGGACCATACCCACCCATGGACTACATGGAAGTGAGACATCAACTTGCAGTCCCTCCCCTTGATTGGGATTCCTCATCCTACCCCCATGTGGATGTCGGCTCCCGGTGGCTGGGTTTTGGATTTAGAGTTGAACCAATCAATGCAAGTCCTCACACATGCAATACATGTCTATATTCCTCCCTCATTTATAACCCATCAGTGTTGTGGGTCATGGTGGAGGTAATTGAGGATTATTGCGGTTCTTTCCCTTTTGCTGTCCTCTGTGTTTCTTATTCTGATGTTAATGAGCTTGGGGTGGTTCCGGTCAATTTTACCTTTGAGGGAGATGGTTTACATTATGTGTAGACATCTTTTTGATACCGGATATTGGGTTTCTGGATTGATCTGTCAGTTTATCTTATTCACCTCTGCCCCATTAATGAGTTGGCGGTACCAGATTCCCTCCAGTCTCATGAACTTGAGATGAAGATGGTATGATCCTCATTCCTACCCCCACCAGATGGCTGGGCTTTGGGTTGTAGTTGACTTGCTACTGGAATGATCCTCATTTTACTCCTGCATAGATGTCAGTTCCTGGTGATATGGGTTTTAAATGTAGTTGATTTGCCATGTATGGTCCATTGTGCCCCAGCCACTCAACACCCAAGCACATCCTATTCATTTTATCCACTTTTATAATTTTTGGGATTGAGTTTCATAATTGATGCATGGTTTGGATCACTTTCCAGCCATAATTCTCTCCCAATTGGATGTGCTCCTCTATTTTCCACCCATATATATGACATATTTCTATGATAGGCGAGGAGTATACCTGGTTCAGAAGTGATGTGGTACACCACATCGGATCTTAGAATATGACAGTCTCATCTTAGGGAGTGTCTTTCAGATGCTTTTGAAGGATGCTTCTTTCTTTCCCTCACATCTGTCCCTCCACCTGTTCAATGTGGAGGTAACATAGTGTATCAGAAGTTATAATTTTCCTACACTGAAAATGTATTTTCACACTTCCCAACCACTCCCCACTGAAAACTGTTGCTTCCATCTTCTGCCAAAACTTGAAGTGATAGTTTGGTAAAATTGAATAGAGGGAGTCACATACGTTATGAGAATATGTTGCACTCTTATTGGTGGAGGGTTGATGAATGATGATTTACATGAGAGATGCATTGGAATCAGTCAGTTCAAATGGAGGGGAGATAGAAGGCTTGTGGAATGTATAAAAAACTTTGCATAATAGCTATTTATGTCAGAGGAGGTTATTAGAAATACGTTTTCAGTGTAGGAAAATTATAACATTCATTTTATAACATACTTAGAATATATTATTAAGTAAAAAAGCTTGGTATTGAGAAATCTAAAAACTGTTTTATTTCATTCAAAATTTATGACACACTGATTATTAAGACATAGTAATTTGTTCAGCAAATCTCATAAAAAAAACAATCACAACAAAGTCTTATGTTTTATCTATCTATTGCATTATCTGCCATTATATTATCATTTCCCTTTATCAGTCACAATTTACTGAAAAAGGTTCTTAGAATTGAAGAAGAAGAATTTAGTAGAATAGGCAGAGGCTTATGCATGAACACATGGAATATTCCATATCTGACTTTTAAAAGTCTCAGTTTGTAAATGATTAGTCAATTATTTGCCCTAGTGGAAATTATTTGAAGAAGTATTGTTTCAATATTTCATGAAATGAGCAATTTGTACTTAACTAGTCTAATTATTACAATTATAAATTCTTTTATGCAGTACATGAGGTGTTTAAATATTTCATGAAATGATCATTTTTTATGTTAACTGGTATGTAACTTTGATCATTGGAACATAAAGTCCAGTGTTTATGATCATTATTTCATCTTTAAAAATTATTTAAATTATTTCATCTTTTACAGAATTTATACAGGGAGTTTCCCAGTTCAGTGTGAAAGGTGATAAGGAGTCAAAATTAAGGTGTAAGTTATTTAACTTATTTTTATTAATATGTTTTGCATAAAAGTCTTTATTTTCCCACTACTAGCCCATGGGAACACTCTTTAAAGGGCCACTTGTATAGTTCTTTTCTTAAACCTACAAAAGAAATCTTTATACTTTCTAAGTAGATATTCTAACTTTTAACATAAATTGCTTCTTCTTGCATTACAAAAAGTGTTCTTTAGCACAAGGGCTGGAATTTTTGAAAAAAGAAAACTTTCTCCCAGGAATAAAATGCTAGAGAAATCTACTTACTCCCTTTCTGTCCCACAAAACAGACAAAAAAGTAGAATATAACTTTTTAAATTTTGCCTTTATTTGAGTAAGCACACTCAGTTAGTGATTAAAAGTAACTTTCATTTCATTAAATTAAGGATTTGAAAAGAAAAAGTAATTCAACAATACAATGCCATTGGCACCTAAATTTTGTGGGGTGCTACATTTTGCATCTAAGGTATTGATATATATATATGTTCATTTGTGTATTTTATATTTGTTAACATTTATTTATGAAGATTATACAGCATGTTTACACACACACACACACATATATATACACACATACATACAATGTTGTAGTGCTAAATAAAGGAGTGCCAGATTATAAAATATACTGCATAACTGTGCAAGGTGGGATTCGTTTACAATAGCATTCTGGCTAAAAAAGTACAGGTACAAAGGCACAAAGAATTTCCAATGTCGAAACAAAACATTCATACATTTAGATAGACTTTTGACATAAGTTAACCTCTGTCTTTCACGGTCTTTCCTTCTTTCCATTTGTGACCAGGCTTTCAATTTCTTCTTTTCTCATAATGTGTCCAAGAAACTTCAACTGTCTCTTTCTGATGTTAGTCAGCAGCATACTCCTGCAACCTGCACTTGACAAAATATCTTCATTTGAGGTGTGACTTGTCCAACATACCTTCGAGATGTCTCTTAAGAATCAAAGTTCAATTGTTTCAATTCTCTTTTCCATACTTTGTGATATTGTCCAACATTCTAATGTACTGTGAGAATTGATGTAACATAGCAATCCAAAACTCTTAACTTTACTCTCATAAAAATTTTACTATTTGTCAGTGTTGTTTTCATTTTCAGAAATGCATCTTTTGCCATCCCTATTCTCTGTTTTATTTCATAATCACATTTACCATCTGATGTTATCCAGCTTCTCAGGTATTTGAATTTATTGACCTGCCTTATCTGTTCCTTATCTACTTTGAAATGCATATAGGAATGACCTTCTTCTTTGTGATTATTATGAATTCTGTTTTCCTACAGTTAATACTTAAACCCTTCTTCTCACCTTCACTAAAATTTTATCTAAAATTTTTTTTGCAGTTTCTTTCTGAATCAGCTATTAAAACCGTGTCACCAGCATGAGCAAGTTGTTCAAATTCCCTCTGCCAATGATCAGCCCTGGTAAATCCTCAATCTCCCTCAGGATTTTCCTACTGTACAAATTAAAAATCCATATAATGCACATAAATTACAAATAATACCATGTTGAAAGGTACTCTGTACAATGTTGGGGCATACACACATAGACCCCCACTCATGCTCATAGGGTTAATATCTTTTTTCAATTTCTTTTGTTCAGTTGCTTTCAGAATCTATGACATGGACAATGATGGTTACATCTCCAATGGAGAACTTTTCCAGGTACTGAAGATGATGGTGGGAAACAACCTGAAGGACACACAACTTCAGCAAATTGTTGATAAAACGATTCTCTTTGCTGATAAGGATGAGGATGGAAAAATCTCTTTTGAGGAGTTTTGTGCTGTAAGTTTAGAGTAAATGACAAGGATTTACAAGTTAGAAATATTACTTACAGATGACAATAAGAGATAAAGATATACTATGGAAATTGTCTTACCATTAACCCTTTAACTACTGATGTACTTTCTTTCCTTTATTTTAAAAGAAACACCAAAAGCAATAATGAAAACTTCTCATTTTGTTGTTAAGTGATGCATGAGCTATAAGTAATTTTGAACTTTTACAACGTATAACTAGATTCAGACATGTGCCTAGACAGTAATGTATGTTTACTTGCCCTGCTGACACGTATGTTTCAAAGTTTTTTGGCTGAATGCAGTAGAAACAATTAATAAAGTTTGTCAATACCTGACAGGTTCCTTCTATACTTGTCCTTGAGCTTTAGAAGCAACATCTACTTATTTCACACACATGTTTATAGTCATTAGAAAGAGCTCATTTTACCCTATATTCAAATTTAAGTTATTTTGAAATTGATTCGAGGTTATTGTCAGCAGGTAGATGTAACTGCTTGTAGTATCATTGGCTCATTTGTTCATGATAGCATCTTCGTTTTTTCTTACTTAAGTATGTTATAGTTACAGAGACAGTTAGATTGTACTTAGGTTTTACTTTTATATTTTAGTTAAGTATGCATTATTTGTGTTTTAAAATTGATATTTGAAAGTTTAATAATTTTTATAAAATAACCCAAGGCTTAGATTACCAAGTGAGTAAAAATATATTTTGCTGGAGGCTAAAGTATCTCTGCTGTTCATACCGTTCTATCACCCACATGTACCCGTTGATGTGTGTCAACATAAATAATGAATGATAAAGAACAGGAAGGGAAAATAAAACATTAAAATCAAACTAATATTGAAAAGGTAAAGACATCAAATTACACATATGACAAAAAGAAGATATTTTAAGACTATTCTACGAGGGTAAGAACATTTTTTCATTTCTTAATTTTAAACATTTCATTGTAATGTACATTGATGATAATAGCAAGTTAGCGGTATAGTAGCGGAAATGGAAAATAAAATATAAAATTTACCTTAACAACTTTTGATATTTATTTAGGAGGTTCTAGGGATTATGCAAATGAAATGTAAAAACTGTAAGATAATAAATAGTATTTTTATTCACAAAATTTGAATCACATTCCAGGTGAACTATTCAGAGTATGAATGCAAATAACTGCATTAAATAATGAATTTTTATTAGAAATAGTAGGAAAAAATCAAAACTGTATATTTTATTTTTCTGAAACTATATACTTTTAGAAAGTTTCTTGTCAAATTTCAAACAATTGAATCTACTATTTTTATTTCTGGAATGAAATATGATGATAGTGACCTTAGGTCCCTAAAATATAGAGACTCAGTAGTTATAGGGTTAATAGACTTACAGTGGAGTATATTTGCAGAAATGAAAGTCAATGTTACCACATTTTAATTTTTTTCCTATGTTTGAGTGCAGTTTTACTCAGTTTAATGTCCCTTTTCCTTCTTTGTATCCATTGTTTTAATCAGAGTGCCATCTCTACACAACCTCTGTTGTTATACTGTTTATCATTATGAGATGTGATAAATATTAAAAGGTGATATTGTTTAAAGCTTGTGCTGACTATTTTTGTCATAATGTATTAAAATTGTTCTTTTGTTATGTTTTGAAGTATTTAAACCTTTTATTTCATGATGTAAATGTACAACAAGCAAAAGATAACTACTGAACATCTGTATTAATTTTGTATGCACCCAAAGTATCAGATAATGAAATTGTAACTGTCATAGTAATGTATTATATTTAGTGAAATTGGAACACTTATAATTATGAAACCAGTAAAGCACAAACTCAAGTACTTTTTAAGTATGATATTATTATTATTCCTATTGGAGCCCAATACTGTCAAATTCATCTGAGCAGAAAGCAGCTTGTATCCAACTCATGTCAGAACAGAACAAATGTGATTGATCTTGTGTAAAATGTATACAGCTGCAAAGAGATTATGTGAAATAAACTTATATAGGTCTCACAAGCTGACAGTGAATGCTTTAATTTCACTAGGTTTATCAAGAATCAGTCTGATGATCTATATTCAATGATTTAATCTTAGAGGAATATTTATGTAACATATATGTATGAACCTGTTTGGAGGTTCTCCTCATTAAACACCATAGTCAGTTAACAAACAAAATTCTTATTTTGTATGATACTTTTGCTGTAAGAAGAGTAATACATTTGGCTTGTTATGCTTTGGTAAGCTATGCTGATCCTCTGAATCTTATTTTTTGACATATCAAATCATTATTCAAATTATTGTAGTCCAGTTGGTTGAGAGAACCAAAATTTTTCTTTCACTACCAGGATATCTCATCACATTGCCATGCAACCTATTTTTGGAAGATAAATTGATTCTGATTTTTGTTTCAAAACTGCCCATCAATCATGAATTACCATCCCTATTTAAATTATTTTTCTAATGAAGAACAATTCCAGATGAGAATATACCTAGAAAAAATGTGTCACGTGTGTCACACAGGGGAAATTCAGGATTTTTTAAAATATTGCCTTATAAAATTAAGAACTTAAAACTTATATACTATTAAAATATGGATTATTAGCTAAGATTTTATGCTATACTAATTGGTATAACATAAGCAAAAAGTAGTTTAATAAAATTTGTAATGTAAGACACTAAAACCTTGTGTCATGTGAGAGGGTTAAAGAGTTGGAAAATTTCAGTCTTATAGACTTTTCCTCAGAAATTAGTAGTTTAAAAGAGAGTTGAATTGGTACTGTAAGGTTTCCAGATTTTGAAATATCTATTGCAATTACTATTTAAAATTCTGAAATGTTATTATAAAATGTATGTAGTAAAAATATGAAACTGAATTAACTAACTCCAACAATTTACCAACTACTTTTATCCTATGTTTCAGCTGTTATTTTTGTGGAAGTTCTGAGAAGGAATATTTCTCTGGATGTGCAACAAATGTCTATAAAGGAGTTCCAGCCTTTACTAACACAGAAATAATCCCTCTCAGGACTTCTTTGAAAATAGCAGCAGATTAGCAGCTGAAATGTAGGACAAAACTAGATAATAATTAGTATATAGTTATGTAAAAAAATTATTATTTAATGATTAGATTTAGGTGATGGTATAGGATATTCTGGATTTACAACTGCCTCCATTGTTTGTCTGCAAGTTGATAATAGTGTTGCTTAAGGATGTTCAGCTTATTTAGTGATTTCCGTTGATCTTCCAGTCAATTTTTTTTAATTTTTCAGATTGTGGGCAACACTGATGTACACAAGAAAATGGTAGTAGATGTCTAGTGTTCCAGAAACTTAACAGGACATTCTGCTTTCAAGTTTTGACAGTACTGTTGTATTTTCTTTGTCTTGATTAATGAATACTTTTCAGTTGACGTAAAACTTTATTTATACTTATAATGGAATTATGTACATGTCATTCATATATAGTGTTGTACACTTTGCTGTATGTATTTTCTCAATGTTTTTAAAACATATTCTTTATTGGGTGTTTGAAATATTTTATACTATAATATTTACTTTTGCACTTTGTAATTCTTTATAGCATGTAATTTACTAGGTGAATATTACAGTTTTTGTATCTGATTGTTAAATTTAACACTGTGAAAGTTTTATTTGATAATTACTTACTACAGAATGTTTTCAGTATAGTTTATCGTGGTTAATATTACACGAATTAATGCCACATGTTTACTATTAATAAATTGATGTTATGTATATTTCATTTATTTTTTTTCTTAATTTGTGATAACACATTTGTATTTAGATCTGATTAGTGATTCTGAAATATTGTCTTCCTTAAAGACTTTATCACAATTAAAGATGTGGCAAGATTTAAGAATTCAGATATGCCACTCATATCTCAGCACCAGGAAGAGCTATTACCTAGCATGCAATGTAATGTATTTTTTGGTTGTTTCAAAAGTTTTGAACAAAGCTCCCACCTCCTACACACGTCAACGTGTATTACACCAACTTATGTTGTAATCATCATTAGACTATAGCCCTCTACCAATAGGAGGGTGACACATCCTCTGTCTGCAGTAATCCTCATGATGAATAGCACATGAACACAGGCTTATTCTTTGTTTGGCACAGCTTGTCTTCAGACATGTTTTTTCTTCAGATTTACCAGCGTTTTGTGTTTATTGTTTTAACTTTTCATTGTTTTTTTTTTTGTTTGCAGTCATTCCTTCCTTAACTTACTTGATTTTTGAAAGAATGATATTCAGTTTTAAAATTATCAATTAGAACTTTCATTTGAATTATCTACTATTTGATTTTCCTTTCACCAAATTTGCACTTTTGAGATGCATGTTCCATTGTCTGTTTCCATTGTTTTCTTCAAGACCCTTCCTTTGTGATATTTTTTGGGATATTAAGGTATTTCTTATACATTGGCATTTTGAACTCGTGCAGCTTTTCAGTACTACTCATTTTGATTTCTTGCCATTTGGAATAGGGTCTCCACTGGTTTTCTTAATGTGTACAACCTGGTGTGTTCATCCCCTCCTCTGTTCCTTGTCCTTTTGTTACTATCCGTGGTCCTCTCTTTGTGGGCTGGCTTTTCTGGGTCTTGAAAGTGATTTCTGGAACCATCTCTTCTCTCCTGTCATGTGGGAGCTCTGTTCTCCCACTTTGTTCATTGGTAGACTTCCTTTTCTATAACCTCAGGTGCTTTTCCCATACTTTACTCTTCACTCCAACTGTTTCAAATGCCATAAGACAATTGCTCAACTCCAATCTATGGTTTTATTCCTGTCTTTTTATCATCTCCATGAAGATGGGAAGTTGTTGGCCACATACCAATCTGCCCCACTTGACCCAGCTTTGGCCTAGCTTTAGTTCTTGATTAGCAATTTTGTACTTTCCTATGGGTACTTTCCCCAGCAGTGGATGACAGATTCTGGGTCTCAACACTTTCTTCACATTCTGATTTGTCTATTTGTCTTGCACTTTCTTTAATTTATCTGTCTTTTTTTCATTGGGTCTTGTGGTTTTTTTTTTCAAAGGGGTTACATTCTTGAGGCTTATTATTCCACTAAACTATAGACATTTAACCTCTACTTGTCTTTTTTACTGTGGCTTCCTCAATTATGACCTTCCATTTCCTGTGAGAGTCATCTCATTTGAGGTGGCTGATTTGGCTCTTCATTTCAATCTCAACCCTTACATTGCATTTTCTACACCAGAAGGTCTCTCTCACTAAGTAATGAGGCTCAGCCTACTTCTTTATCTTTGTTACATGGTGCTTTTAATATGAGAGCTCATGTGTCCTTCATTTCCTGCATGAGTCTTGTTGGGGGACTCTTTCATCTTGAGTCTCTTGTTCCTCATGGATGTGCCCATACATGTTCTTTTCAGGAGTGTTTGGCCTGTGAATACAGGTATCTCTGGAAATACACTGTTTCGTCTGTCTTTTTATGATCTATTCAGACACCTCTGTTGTTTGCTTCCTTCTTTTGAGAGTGGAGCATATGCTCTTGGGACTTTTGTTCAATTGCTTTTTTTGGGTTCACTACCACCACTCTCAGTTTTCGATCTATCCTGTCTTGAAAGCTTAGGCCCTGGTGGTAGACTGACTACCACAACTAGGCCTTGACACTTCCCACGATGTGGTTTTTCCATCCTCTGGTATTTTCAGTGGATTTGCTCCCACTATGGGCATCCTATATTCACTGCCTTTACACTTTCCTTCCACTTCTTGCTTCTACTCATTTAGTATGTAATCCCAGACTACAGCTATGGATGAAGATGTTCTTTGTCTGGTATGGTTCAACCTTCTTTTATGTGCTACAGACATATTTCATCCTCTTGTCACTTATGGGAGCTGTCATTCGTTTTTGTCTTATCCTCCAGAACTATTTACCACTGGGACAGGATCACCTTTTTGGGTGGCTTGGGAGCCTATTTGAATGTTTTCATCATTCATCCTGCCTACATGTTAATTTTGACCCAGATCTTCTCTTCTATTCTGTATGGTCTATTCATTATTTTTTCATGGTTTCTTTGCCTCTATCCATTAATATTCCCTGTATATGATCTTGCAGGTGGGGATGTTTACAACCCCCAATACATTATTGTCCAAATACTTACATCACAAGGAGATTTCACCAGTCTGACTTTTTTGTCCCTCCATTCATCATTCTTCACTCTTTAAAGTGGGTCTGATGGTGCGTTGTTGATTTATATCTTTTCTTTTGATGGTCTCACAACCTCCATATTCATACATATATATATCTGTGTTATGGAGATAATGATGTAACTCACTAAATGATTGGTGTTGCCTCACAGGGAATACTTACCCAATAGTTGCATTGAGCTGGGGAGTATAGAGAGTGTTAAGCCCATTTGTTTTTGTTCAGTGTTAGGATTGGGTTTTCCATAAGACTGATTTGGTGGTATCCATATATATCTTCCAGGCTTTTCTGCTTTTGACAAAAAACAAACAAACAAAGCACAACAGTACCAGGTGTGTACCTGCTCTTACACCTGGCTCATGCCTGCTATCTTTAGTTGCGATAACCCTCTGCACTGTGTCACAGTCTGAGATGTAATTCCAGATGATTGTGTCTAATGACAAGGGTCCAAGTGTCTAATCCCAAGCCACTGAGGAAGTCAGTATGAAAAGTTCATTGTGCAGTGCAATCCTAATGGTATGAGACTCAATGGACACACCCCTCATTTGTGAAGCAGGGCTGGAGTGTTACCTGGTAATATAGTACAGAACACCCCACTACATTATGAATTAGGCCATTCTCTGTGGTTAGGTCCAGCATGGTTCTTGTGTTTGCCTTGGGACACAGGTTAGGGATGATAGTCTCTACACCTGATTTTGTAATGAGTATCTCGCATATTTTTTGCTATGTGATGGCCTAATTTACACCCCTAGCCACTACACATTCATATAATTGAAGGTTGAGCAATCTGCCATTTCATCCACTTTAGTAACATGTTAACACCAGGCAAAGATTTGTCTGACAATATCTTTTGCTCTACTATATCTACTGGGTGACGTGTATTTCCTGCTTGAGACGGATGCAGTCTCCCCCTGAGTGCTATCCCACTAGGCTACTCCCCATCTCATGGTTGTTACACTCCATGGTCTTTCCCATTCTGATGCCACTTTCTGAGAGAACCTCATCTTGTAATTTCTTTGTACTGGACCCTACACAATCTTCAGTGTGGGATTCTAACTTGTGGTGGTGCAGAGAGGTGAGCAGTGTTTCTGAACTTAACCCACCACCTCCCATTCTTATTCCCCACTTTTGATGCATTTAATTTGCTTCATCGAGAATGAGCCTATGTTTGCATGATAGAGCTCATGGGATTAAAGATGGAAGATGTGTCACCCTTATATTGGTGAAGAGCTATAGTGTAATGATTATTACATATAGGGTGGCACAATACATACTGGACATTTAGGAGTGAGAGCTTTGTTTAAGACTTTTTGGCTTATACAAAAAATTATGCAGCAGTGCATGGGAGTTAATAGCTCTTGGTAATGCAGAGAGGTGAGTATCTATCTGAAATACATTTTCAGCTAAGAAAAATATTAACATAAATTTTCTCAAAGATATTTTTAACTAACATTTATAGTACAAATACCTGTTTACACAAAATTACTAGAATATGGCTTTCTATTCTTTAAAGAAATCTATATTTCATATTTAATACTTTAATACTAAAGGGTATATTTAAAATAAAGAGTAGACAGAAAGGGTACATCAAGAACAAGTTTTGAATATTTGTAAGTATATACCGTAAACTTCTAGCATTCCATTGTTCGTTGTCACTCAAGAACAATTTTGTTATTGTGTATCACTCACACTTTCAAAATGTTACACTTATGTAAAAGCTTCATCACTCTGTATGCTTATGTATTTAAATATACATTAACCCAGACCATTTTACTCTCTTCATTTTAAAATATTTGAGATCTAGAAATTTAAGTTAGCAAATCATAATTTCTTTTGGAATTAATAATCATCTGAATTATTTCAAAAGATGCAAAATGCCAATAGTTTTTATATAATTTTCATAGAACTTGTATTATTTTAAGCTGGTTAGTACCAGATGTGCAATTTTTATCTTTTCTGAAAAATTTGCGTTTAAATAACTGAAGTTCATACTTTTTCCTTGTCTGTTGTATATTTTGGTTTCTTAGTTTCACTGATATAGTTTTCTAAAAGTCTTTAAGGATGAAACATTGGAAATTTCTATTGTTGTTGCGTATGGAAGTCAGAGTATTTGTTCATCCTCATAATACCATCACGATAACAATTCTAAAATTGTTTCATAAATTATAATAATTACGTGAGATAGGAAATATAAATATAATAATGTCAGATTATATTCTCAGTTTCACTGGTTTTCATTTACCCTGGGGCTATATATTCATGCTTGATGAAAAATGATAGAATCTTTTTTTTTCTCAATTCTGTTGTAATTAGTACATTCCAAATATATTTTCATTTAAAATGTAAGTTAAGTAATTAAATGTAAACTGTTAAAAGGTAGAATATTTGTTCAAAAAATATATTTTATGTCAAGTTTTTTTCTTCAGCAAAAACTGATGTTTCTGAAAAGTTTCATGCTATAGAACTTAACTTGCTTTTACTGTTATATTTCAAACATCGTCAAACATTTTTTTTTACAGACACAGTGAATAGCAAACATATATACCAGTACTGCAATATTTTAAGCATTTCACCATTTAAACATTAACTTTCAAGAAAAAAAAGAAATGTTCTTTTGTAACCTAGGTTACACAATGTCTGAGTTTTAAGAAAATCTATTCTTGGAATTTGAGCTTTAGAGTGAGGTTTAAATTTGAGCTTGTTTTTATAATTTGTTATTTATGAAAAAGATATAAAAATCATGTTAACTTGGCAGATGTGCTGTATATCCTGTCATTGTTAACACTGGCCATTAAGCTATTATAGTAGCAATTTCTGGTAAAAACAATTGATAAATTTAACACAAAAACTAGAAAAGTGATAAATTGAAATAATTAACCTTTCTAGGCTATACTTTCTCTTATTTTGAACTAGAGACATAGAATTTATTATTACAATAACATTAATAATTAGATCTGGTTATTGTATGTGTTTATTTGTAGGAATGAACAGATTTCATCATGGGATTGTACTTTTTCTTGGGAATTTTTTTTAACAGATTTTTTACATGTGTATGCAAGTATATAGATAGATTCTTTGTTTGTATGTATTTTTTTTATTCATAAGATGCTCATAACTGCATTTGTTTTTCTTTAAACTCAAGAAACTAAACTAACCACAGTTATCTCATTTGTACAAGTATACATTTGTTACAGTTTTCAAGACTTGTATTTTAAAATTAGTATTTCACATAATTCCCAAATGCTTGCCAATTTACAGTAATGTTAAAGGAAGAATTAAATAATAACATTAAACTAAGAGTATAGAAACACTATCTCTCATAAGCACTGTTTTGTAGTTGATAAAATGAATAATTTTCTAAGATTGTATGGTTATAATTACTGCACAGTGGCTTAATTTGATATTGCTCACATCAACCTCTTGTATTAGATGTCTGAAGTTCTGGTATGTGTACTTCATAAAACTTAGATTTGTATAGTTCACATCTATGTTTTGTATTAAATCTCTGAAGCTCTGGTAAGTGTATTTCATAATAATTCAGCCTGACATATCAAATTTTCTGAAGTTAAATTGCACTTTCTTTATCATATATATAAGTGGTTTCTCACTGCATGGTTCAAGAGGTGTTAAAGTTCAATACTAGTCTTTAAATGAAAATAAAAATTGTAAACATTTTATTTTTATATTTTTATTTTGAAATGTTTTAAAGTGAAACTTGTACTAAATTCCAGGCTGTTTATGATTTTAGAATGAGCTAAATTTATTTTTCATTTATATTTCTGAAAATTCAGATTTTGTAATGATGTTTTTGTTTCTATACTTTACTTTTTCACACCTTATTGAAATAACTGGCAATAAATTGATTCTTTAAAACCTGAATTGTTTTTAATGTCTATAAAGATCAACATGTGTCAAAGACACTACTGAGAATGCTGTTATTGAACCTGACTATTTCTTGAGAGGATTAAATTCTAATTTTATATTTGAAAGTTACAGCAAACTATTAGGTTGCAGTACAAATACTCCTACAATATTTATATCCCTAATGAATCATTATGGTGATTGGACAGAGTTACTGTCCTCAGTATGTTAATGTGGTAACAGTTTAATACTATTAATCATAAGAAAGTATACTTAACATTGATGTTTGTTCAATATGAAACTTCCTTGGTTGATAGAACTTGCAAACACTTATCAGATGGAGTTTCAATACATGCTAGTAAAAACTGTGATGGGTAATGAAAGCCAAAGCTTAAATTTACACAAATATTGCATTCACATTATGAAAATGTTTAGAGATAAATAACAGCGTGCACAGGTGCACTTGGATATTTTCCATTCAAATACATTTTTACTGGTTTGTTCAATGGCAGGAAAGTTGCATTACAAACTCAAGCAAAAAAAAGAAGGGGATGGTAATACACCTCTTTTATACAGTTTATGTAAAAAAAAATATATATATATACTGATTCTGTTTGTAAAACTGGTTTAGATAGCTGTTTTGTTCTGTATATTTTTTTAAATGTAACTTCCAATCATTTATTTGATCAGATATAGATTGTCTCAGTAATTTTTGAGAGCTATCAAAGGCCTTGTACATTAGGTTTTGATGATCATTAGATCTAATAACCATCAAGCTCCTTGGCAGTTTGTTTACTGGTCATCAACTTATTTTGCCTGACATCTTTTTACGCAAGTACTAATTAGCTATTTTAATGTGATATAATGATTCAGTCGAGTGTGCTAAATATACGTTAAATTCCCATAAATCATTCACGGTTATTATTTTGAACTTTTACGATTCGTAAAGAGGTCTGAGAACTACATAATTTTATATCTTATACAAATATTTCCAAGATAAGTAACGTTATTATACACACACAGCATAAGAAGCATCTGAATGGTGATTTCTCAAGAGATGGTGTTCTTGTTATTTTTAATGTTTCGTATACTTAGGTGAAGTCATGAGTGTAAATTCAGTATATATTACCACTGCATATAGCGCTATTGCTTTTTTAAAATAGTTGGTGTTAAGGTAGCGCGTTGTAAGTGTTGTCAATAATTGGCGACTTACGCGAAGTGTGTCGCTGTTGTCTATTTTGGAAGCATTATTTGTGTCGCCTTGTAATCTAGTAGACATCTTGTACACAGCAAGCTGTCGAAGAACATACATATGTGTCATGTAGACCTAACAAGGTAAACAAGTTATTGCGTCTGTTTACATTGCATTAATCTGTGTTGTATTATCTTAGGAGAAACATTATTCCATTCTGATGAGATTCCTTTATTTCTTCTCGTTTTTTGTTACATTACACTGTAACTGACGGAAGCCGGTCATTAAAACTGTGATGATACAGTCTTCTTCTTCAAGATGGTTCTACCCCACAGTGGTATGTCTGCGGACTTATACTGCTAGAAACCGGGTTTAGATACCCGTGGTGGGCAGAGCACAGATAGCCCTTTGTGTAGCGTTGTGCTTAATAACAGACAACAACAAGAAGATGGTTCTTTGAGAACTACTCTACATTTTGTTTGTTGTAGTTGCATACCGGTATATGTGTTTATTCTTTATTGTACATTTGTTATTTATTTTGAATAAGTTCAGTGTGGTAGTTGGGTGAAAAAAAAACAACAAAAAACAATGCAGCAGTAAAGTGTTGAAAAACATGTAACATGCTATTGAACGCATGTACATATGTAGTTTAAAATTTATTCTCCATAAATGGACATAGAAGACTTAAAAACAAGATTAGTAAAAGGAGTTAATTTAAAAAGGTAGAATAGGAATCGTCAGAAAAGCACAGAAACCAGTTAAATCAAAATGCAAAGATCATATTTTCAAGCCTAAAACTAGGGACTCTGAAAAAAAAAGTAAACAAACAAGACTGGAAATAGTGTCTATGTTATTTTCTCAAGTTACAAATATCTATTTTGACTGCACTAAAATTGATAAGTACTGTAGACATGATAATGAAGTTTGTGGGTCAAGCTTGGACTAGTGGTTAGCGTGTTGGTCTATAAATCTAAGATTTTGTGGTTCGCTCCTTATTCCTGCTAAAAACTAAAAATCTTGATCTGTGAATCCTCACTTTGCTGGTCTGGACTAATCTGCTTTGCTGTAAAATAGTTGTCGAATCTGAAATATCTTAAAATAGCCATTTTGTGGTGGAATACACGGTCGAACGAACCTGCGGGGCCCTGTACAAACTTAAGAAAGCTGGCTAAAAATAGCGAAATCAATGCACGATTTCGTAGTCACAAGTAATCTATCACCTCCCACCCCATATATGAATCTAATAAAATGTAAATAAAATTTCTCATAATACGCAAGGCTTCAAATTCTAATTCTCCATATCTTTAAAGGCATTACACAACAAAATTCTGAAATTATTTAGCGTGGTAACTCAAAAATTTCTAACAAAAAGGCTTAAACCAAACTGTTCTATTTCGAATAGAAACCCAGAAGTGAAAACCAAGCAGTTATTTCGTAATTTTACGTTGTATCCAAGTTTAACAAGTGCTCATATTATGGAGTGTTCTAACAATGAAAGTCTTGGAACTAAACCTAAAACATTGACAAAGCTGGTGTGAATAATGTTTCAGTACAGAAGGTAATACATAACAACTGACATCGACAAAAATTCAGTTAATAAACGCTCTGAAACCATTTCTTATAAAATTAATTTAAATAATAAGATATAATCAAATTGACTTGCTCACTGTATTCTAATAATTAATTAGTTTCAATATATTATTATATATAATTAGCTAAGATCAGAAAGCAGAAAATGTGCATAAAAAACTGTCTGCTGGGATAATATGAAAAGAAAAAATGAAACATAAAAGCACTAACATTGATGATAATTTTAGTGGTTTGTCTAGTAGAAGCTATTACATAGTTTTGTAAACAAGTTTAATTGTCCTAAATCCAAGCAGGTGCAGAATACATTAGTTTTCTTCATGATGATTGGCTTGAATGTCACATAAAGCTACACGAGGGCTATCTGTTATCACAGGAAACTTCAAGTCGAAAAATGTTTAATTACTTCTTCATACTAATTAACTGTTTTCATTTTAAATAAATGCAGTTAAAACAACAGCCTGATCTGCTCGAAAGTTGGTTGGTTGTTTTGAATTTCGCGCAAAGCTACATGAGGGCTATCTGTGCTAGCCGTTCCTAATTTAGCAGTGTAAT